TTGTCCTCGAGAGTCCACAGAGGACGCTGCCCACGCAGAAGATGCAGTAAGCAGTGAGGAGACAAGCCTTGCGTCCGAAAATATCGCTCAATTTTCCGTACAGTGGTCTGTCTGCTTGTCAGCTACGATTACTGAATAGGATGAACCCAGGACGCACTGAAAGCTGGTCAAAGTGAGCATATAGCTCGTAGCTATCCAGCTCGTCTTCTGCAACTCCTTCAGGTCGCTACCAATGGCCGCATACGCTGAAGGACATCGGCCGAGAATCCACTTCGAAAACAGGAAAACTCACAAGCAACAACAATGGTCTGGTCCACAGCAGCGAGGAAGATACCCAAGGTCATCGGTATGAACACTGCCAACAAGTTGACTTTTGGTTTGCCTGCATCTTCAGGCGCGTTCTCGTCGAGAAGAGGTCGCCGCTCGTCGCTGGCTGACGCGGTCATGGTGGTCACGAAACAACGTCAAGTGCTGTGCCCGAGATAAGACGCGATCGGGATGTGTGATCGCGCATTGAGTGCGACTTTCCCACGTCTTATCTTTTACTTAGTTAGCTGTATTATGCTACGTTCTGCCGTACCCTAGCGGAGAAAGACTTTGGCCGATAAGATGCTTGAACGGTATCATACGGACCGTTTCTCACAATTTCATCCCGTCGAGGCTAGTAGACTCAAATGGATGATGGGGCTCATGCACAGATGCTCTGCTAGCAGAGATACAGTTACGAAACCTATGTCTATTCATGTTAGCTACCTCAAGCTAAACCTGAGTGAACGCAGCCAGGCGATCAATCGTTAGCCTAAAAGGATCCGGAAGCTCTGTATCCTCCCAGCTTTCGCCCTTCATAAGCTTCACCAGCCCACTTGACGAAGTAAAGATGCGAGCTACCAAAATTCATCAGCCCCCCGTAAGTTTGAGCGAAGGGTACCCAGACTCACCCATTCCATGTCCAGTAAAGCCAGCCAGAACCCATTGCCCTGGATGTCCAGGAACGGGTCCGACAAAGGGAACGCCATCTGCACTCTATGCCAACATGAGCACGGTAAGATGTACCCATTCGAATTGGGCACTTACTGCGCCTATAATCCCCGACCAATTATACTCCACCTCCCCAGCGCCAATCTCCTTTGCATCCTTCCACCCAGTCAAGACCTGGGCAGCAAAGTCTTCTACACCATCGATGATGGGCTGGAAGTTGCCCAACGAGTCGTCCGCCCGCCGTTCAGGGTGTTCGTCGATGTACTTCTCCAACACACCTTGCGCGGTCGAGTCACCGCCGAAGAGAACCACACCGTCCGAGGACGAGCGCGGGTTGATTGAGACGGCGCTTCCCTTGTAGCCCGAGACGTAGTAGGTGTTTTGTAAAGCTTGCGAGCCGCGGTGCGATGGCGGTGGGACGACTTTGCTGCAGATAAATGGCGTGGGTTTGATGATGTCTCTGAACATAGGAAGTAGGGCGGATGTATATGCGTTTGTCGCGTAAACGACGGCCGGTGTCACGACGCTCCCTCGAGGAGTGTTCACCGCCCACAAAGGGAAAGTGAATGCTTCAGAGACGGATTCGACAGGCGTGTGGGTCTGGAGGTTGAGTCCCTTGTCAAGGCAGGCTTGTATAACATGCGCGACTGGATGATTAGGTTGTTTCAGCAATGCAATGTGATAGAATACTTGATAACCGTACCAAATTTCCAAGGATAGAAAGAACCAGCAGTCCAGCTCACACAGGCCAGTGCCCCATTGATCCTTGATACCTAATGAGCATCAGTAACCAAAATCATCGCCGTAGGTCTTAGGACTTCGACATACCCGCTGCGCTTCCTGAGGGTTGTCGATGAATCTCAAATTGGAGATGTCTGCACCTGTGGCCTTGAACGCTTCGTACGACTCTCTGTATGCCTTCGCCTCTGACTCGGTCACTGCAACATCAAACGTATCCCCAACCCAAAGATCGCAGTCAACACCTTCGCGCTTGACCCAGTCCGCCATTTTCAAAAAGTTCTTCTGTTCATCGGCAAGGAGCTGCAGACCCTAAGTCAGCTCTGCACCATGCGCACAACGGCTCGCGCACCTTCTGCGCTTGAACCGCACCGTATTTTGCGGCATAGCCAGTGAACCCTCGGTACTGGTCTGGCTTGCAATGCCCCGCATTCCGTCTGAGATAAGGAGTGCTCAGTGCATTGGGCGCAGACAGATAACCAAGCACGTACCCAGTCGCGCCAGAGCACAAGTCGCGCGCCTCGAGAAGGACGACGCGTTTCGGTGGGTCTGGGCCATGCAGGAGGTCGTATGCTACAAGCGCGCCGGACATTCCACTGCCAATGATCACGACGTCGGCCTGCGCTGGTAGATCTTTGGTTGTTCGGTGGTTCAACAAGGGATTCGCACTGGCATTCTGGAGCCAGTACGAGCGGCTTGCGCCAGTGGCAAGTGGGAGGTATACACTTGAGGGAACATGGGAAGGTTCATCGGTGGAGGTGGTGGAAATGGGAACTGGTGTCGGCTCGAAAGGTGTCTTCTCGTTCTGCTGAACAGGTTTCTCTTCCACCGTAGGTTGCGACGGAGGAGATGGTTTGGACCAAGCTAATCCCATGGCTGAGCCTGCAGTGGTCGTGGTAGGAAGGCAAGCTGATAAGATATACACGGCCGATGGCGAAGGAAGGAAGAACCGCCGCAGTGATTAGGCCTGTATCATGTCTGGAACACGAAACGATAAGTCGAAAATCCGGATGCCATAGCCATCAGAATCGTCGGAGTTGGCATCGAGGTGGTGGTCATTTGAGAAGAACTCGCGGGGCAGTCGCCCGCCATCAATAATGCATCAAAGGCGGCATGATGGATCGGCACTCTGGGATAGTGGTACAGACGTTTTGCTCGCAAATGACTCTATATGCACTAATACAAGTACAGTAAGTCTTGAGAAACGTAATTTAGCAAGTCCATGAGAAACCCTGCTCGATAAAATAGATAAGATGAAGTTTGAACCAGCCCATATAAGTCATAAATGTAAAAATTGTATATTCGTAGCGGCAGCCTCCTGCTCAAGCCGACTGTTGTGAGTCGTTCGAGGTCGTTTTCATCTCCACGCCAGTGAAACTCGTCTCCGCCGGGATGAAGCGACCAGGCCACAATGGGACGTAAATGGCGACGGCGATGAGAAGTGGAAGAGCGTCGAGGGCCCAGAAGTAGCCCTCTGTTGTGGAGAGCTTTGACCCCCAGCCACCGGAGATTTCGACGACACGATATATCGAACGGACCTGCATATTTCGTTAGTTCTTTGTTAGGCTTATGTAGGAATGGACATACAATGATGCCAATACAGCTTGCGCACATTCCAGCGGCGAGCGTCGTCCAGTTGTTCATCCTGGACTCATGGCTGTCTTTGTTCCAGACTTCGGGGCGGCGAGAGTGGATGAGAAGGATCATGCGTGCGAATATGAGAGTGAAGATAACAAAGGAAACGAGCTGGAGGATGAGGCCGACGAGGAAGATCTAAGTAGGGCATATCGTCAGTCTCATGTGCAAGAGATCGCAAAGGAAGATGAGGAGCATACCTTTTCTCCGAGCTCGTGCTTGTCCTCCATGACCATGATGCCTCCGCCTCCAGCTTGGACGAGGAACGTGATGACATCCGAAAGCACAAAGACCAGCGTTATTTTGCGCGCGCTGACAAGGAGGAAGTCGTCACAGCGGAGGTATCGCGACAGACGTCCGAGCAGGACATATTCCGCCGCAATCATTCCACAAGGCTGGAAATCAGTCAGAACTTTGAATGTACCAAAGGATCGAGAGGGCAGCATACAGAAAGCGTTATGAACAGGTTGGCAACGACGAAGACACCAAGCGTTTCGGGGAAGATGCGGATGGCGAAGCGCAAGCCTATGCCCATCATGTAGACTGTCGAGTACCAAGGTCAGCGACCTTCCAAAAGATCGAGAGTAGAGAACGAACATTTCACAGCGATGGGCATAGCCATCATCCAGCGCGCACCCCTCTTCCATACCAACCACGCCTGAGCGAGAAACACGATGAGGTAGAGCACTGTCCCGATAGCAGCAAGTGGGACAGAAGGCGCGTATCCAAGATAGCTGCTGTATCCAGTCTCGTGCGAGGCGTTGTCGTTATCCATGATAATTGTCGTTGAGTTAGAAACGTCAAGAAGTAGATGAAGAAGATGAAGGTGAAGAATGTAGAAGAGGTGGAAAGCGAGTGTCCTTCCTCCATCGTGCTGGCCTCGATGATATACTTTCCACAAAATCGTTCATTCGGTCGTTATATCGTTCTCGCTCGCAAGTAGCACAGCATAGCTGCGAGCACAGTTGTCGAAACGAACTAACGGCGCAACTTGTCTATCTCGTTCATTCAAACACGGATGTTTAACGGCGTGCTCATCCGTACCCCCGACATTGCGGCCCTGATTGTCACTGCGTTCGACAAAAGACATTTGCTGAGTCATCCTGGAGCCTCCCTAATCCCTAGTGAGGGTGGCGAGCGTTCGTGCCGAAAGACCCAATCAAGGACTGTAACTATCGCCAATGTTGCTTAACCACCATGCCAAGCATGAAGCCGCGCCTGAGCCTAGCCTGTATGCTGACTTTTTTACACCTTCACACTTGTCATCCCGCAGTTCTGCTTGCAACATTGTTGATAGCGAGCGCCTTGAGACCCTATCCGCAGCGCGGAACTCGCTCGCTCAGAATTGAGATCTACAACGTGCGCCGTTCTCTGGACCCACAACGGACGCGGATGTCTCGACGTCTAATACCGATTAGTAGTCATCTGCGCCGAAGCCGGTCCGCTTTTGGAAGTCTACGATTGTCCAATGACCGACTTACAATTTGGTAAACCGTATGGCACGGACGCCGCACCCGGAGGTCGGATGCTCTAGAGGGTCGAGACTCGATGCACGTCGCACGAGGCTGAGAGTCTGAGACGCGAGTCTCGAGAATCTGGAGTCTTTCTGTGCAGTGTGCACACTGCACACTGGGGGAAGAAAAACAAAAGGGCCTGAACGGGAATTGAACCCGTGACCTCCTGCAGGCAGATTTGAGTGATCAGATCACTCAAGCCCAAAGCAGGAATCATGCTACTAGACCATCAGGCCGATGACAAAGGCTAACAGTCCGTTACCATAATCTTTTGACCCCTTAGCATTTGGTGGATTGACCACACGCACTCTCCAATGCTAGCTCTCATAACACCAATACGACTACGATAGTTCATGCTGCTTCCAGTCCAGGTTTTGCGACTTTGAGTTCTCGGACAGGGAATAGTACGGACACATTCCTCGAGTATTCATTCGCATCAAATATTCGAAGTGCTAAGTATTCACCGGCACCTCCAGCTCAACTTGTCCTCCCACACCCTCCGATGATTCGCTTTGCTCCAATGAAATTGAATGAATTATTTTAATATGAGCTTGGGTGGCTCAACATGGTCTACAAGACGGTCAACATTGTCAAAAACAAGGAGCAAAAGGAAATGCACTCACGCCTCCATCAATCAACACCGTCTCTCCAGTGACATACCAATTCGCCAGCAGGAATAGTGCTAGGGAGCCTACATCGCGCGGACGACCATACCCTTGCTCCTTCCCGTATGGCACTTTGAAGAGGACGGGGAAGTCGTCTGGGATGATGACAGTGCCTGTCTCGTCTGAAGGCGCGCCAGGAGCTGACATCTATCGTTGCATGAGCATAGCCGCGCCGCACCGCAACAAAGGATAGTCAATACGTACGTTACTGGGGAAGAGACCAGGCGCGATGCCGTTCACGCGGACGCCCAATGGGAGGAGCTCATGCGCAAGAGAGGATGTTGCATGCCCAACAGCGCTTTTTGACATCATGTAAGGGTACGATAAGCCCGCCGTCGAAGAATCCTATCTTGTTCAGTACACCTGTATCGCCGAAGCCTTCGAAACGTACCTTCGTCCACCCATTCATACTGCTTGTCATGATAATCTGGGGCACAAACTTCTTCGCGGCCGGTTCCTCTGAGAGCTTCCACTTCTCCAGCAGCGGGAGGAAAGCAAAGGTCAGCCAGTAAGGCCCGACAGCGTTCGTGTTCAGCGTGCGGTTGAAATGATCTGGTGTGATGTCGTCGAAAAAGCTCTTGACGTACTCGTCCGCTGTAGCAAATTTCGGCGGCGTGAAGATCCCAGTGAGGATACCAGCATTGTTGAAGAGCGCTGTCACGTATTTCTCGCGCTGAGCTATCTCGTCCGCCAGACGCTTGGCTTCTGTCTAGTATCAAGGATGAGCCTTAAACGTGCCCTGTATAGTGAGAACGACAAGAGACATACCTTGGAGCTGATATCCGCCTCAAGGGCTATCATCGTCCCACTTCCCGGGATTTTCACCACAGAGTCGTTATACAGTGCACAAGTCCTTCATCGACCACATTAGCATCCATGCCTGGTCGCGACCGTGAAGACGCTTACTTGTCCATATCACTCTGAGTTCCAGGAGGACCGACAATATAGACCTTGGCACCGTTCACGATGAGCGTCGACGCTATCATCAGGCCAATACCCTTGAAAGACTCTAGTATCAGTACATCATGACGCGAAAGCGGTCGAGACAACCTACAGTGCCGCCGCCGGTCACAACAATGACCGTACCAGTCAGATCAAAGAGATTAGCGCGGTGCAGGGGTTCCAAAGTCAAGGACATCTTCACAGAAAAGGTTCAAGTCAACGAAGGACGATCTGCAGAAGGTTGGTTATATATCGTCAACGCCAGGCCTACGCGTCCTCTCGGCACACCTTGGAATAATTGAAATACCAAACGGCTCCGGAGAGAGTCAAGTCGGTGAGAAGTGGAATCCGTATGCGTGACCCACTGTGGGCCGATCGAGCACCAATCACAATGAAAGCTTATAATCAAGATGGTACAGAAGAGGTGGTAGATGTTGCATTTTGTTGTCGGGGAGGCGCGAAAGGTAACCACATTCGCTATACCCAAAGCTCGCAATGTTCTGTCAACTTCCCGTGCCTCCCAAACCATTAGCATGAAGCCGACATAAAGCACAACTGACAATAAAGCCAACTCACCTCCGTCGGAGTAAACCTGCTTGCTACCGTCGGCGAAGCCAAGATCTCACGATACAGGAGGATACATATAAAATTTGATTTATTCTTTCAAGATCTAGACTACTACTACTAGCAACACAGCAGCGAAGCGCCGAAACCCCCCAAAAAAGAGAGACTACGGAACACCAAAGGGACGGGGGAAGAGAGGTAAAGAGATATAGGATGTGAACGAGCGTGCGTGTAATATACGGAAACGAGCATCGAGAGCACACGAAGAGGACGGCCAGCGACCAAGCAAACGCAAGCGCCCGCCGACCACCGACCGTCCAACCCCACACGCACATCGACCGACGCTGAAATATCGTAAACGAGAAAGTATGGTACGAAGAGGGTTGGTGGGAGATGCGTATAAAAACAGTGCAACGCGGAATAGTCGGGGGAGGTGATGTGGAGGTGGGCGTGTTATGGTCCGTTTGCGTGGGCTACTATACAATTGAAATGCTGGACGAGGCTCTAAAAACAGGGTTCGTGACAAGCGAGCAATAGAAAGGGTATTCGACGGCCTGGATATTAAGATAAGCGACAATTATGGGAAGACAAGTGCAGTGCAAACGTACCGAAGTCAACAAATACACCTGGGGAGCAAAGGAAATATGTACAGAGAAGTAAAAGTGACCGCGCTGGCCACATAAAGATCGCGCAAAACAGAGCATGGCGGATGGCGAGCGTAGGTAGCGTCAACGCCGTGGCGTCGTGTGGTAGTAATGTATAAGGTGCGGGAGAAGGGTGAGATGAGGTGGTCGAGAACGCAGTTCCGACTGCCAGTGGCGGGGCGTGATAATAGCGACGTCGAGAGCAGAGGAATGCGAGTACGGATACATCTAGGGAGAAAGGAATCGGTACGCCAGCGCGCGCGAAAAAAATAAAAGCGGCTGGGGAAATAAAACGTGGAGATAATACGGAGAGTACTAGATAAATAAGCTATAGTCACAAGAAATCACAGACATCCAATCCCAGGAGATCAAAACTAGTCAAGCCTTCCCCTCGTCGCAGACGTAGGTGTCGACGAGGAGATCGTCGACGCCTGGTGGTATTGGCGACGCTTGATGGAGGGGGGATGACATCGGTCGTAACCGATAGAGGGTTTTGCCTTTTGTACAACTGGCTATGCCAGATACCAATAAGAATGCGACGATGGAATTGCGATGGAAAGCAGGTATTGCACATGACGAGGAAAACCGAGAGACGGGAACGAGAGCGGCGGGGGCGAGGCCCTGCCAATAGAGGTGCGCGGGTGTCCTAAACGAGTTGCCAATGACGGGGGGTATGAGCGAGTGCTGTGAAGGTGGAGGGCTCTAGCGGGTTATTGTACAAGGTGTCCGAGCCCTTGGCGACAGAATAATGATAGGCCGAATTTTCCTGGGCTGGGCGTCTAGAATTTTGGCCTGGAGAGATGAATGAGTCATGGTCGAGAACAGCTGCTGAAAGCGCACCTCCACGCTTCACGATAGCAATGAGTGAATAAAATTACATAAAGGCCGGCATGGGCAGGTCCTCGGGACTCGGAGAGTTCTGGAACGTTGAACTGGCAAAGGCCTCGGCAGATGCGGCCGAGCGCGGGCGGGAGCCAACAGACTGCTCGTCTGAGCTGGACTCGTCGGAAAAGCTCTCGCTGGGGGAGCGCTGGTGGTTACGGCGTTTGATGGCCCGGGGCAGAGTGGCCGGCACATTGAACGGGAAGCCAGACAGGGTGCCTACGAGTGGCGCGGTCTTTGGACCGTCGTCGTAGCGCTTGCGTGTGGGCGTCGTGGGGAACGTCGTCAAGTCCTCCGCAGAGTCATCGCAGATCGGGAAGTTGAAGATGCTGTGCTTTGCCGGTGGGGGCACTGAGCGTGACATCTGGGGCGGTGATGGCTGAACCCGCTCCGGGATTGCGATTGGCTTTGTTGGGGTCTGGTGTGGCTGACGACGGCGGGCAAGCTTGCCAGAGGGTTGCGCGGTGAGCTTCGGAGCACCGGTCCGAGGAATGCTGTCACCAGCGGTAGGGGCGGCGATAGGAGAGGAGAACACGTCTGCCTGCGTGAGTTCGGGAGATGGTTGACGGGTATTGTTGCGGCGGCCTCGGACTGAGGAGTGGGAGCTGCTCCTGCAGAGGCAAATGATATTCGCAAAATTGATAACAAGATATGAGACAATGGGCCTCACCTGGCTGGTCGGCTTTCGCGGGGCTTGGCTGCCTGGCGCCCACGCTTCTCTGGCGAGTGCTTCTTGTCTGCAATCTCTGGAGAAGGCTTGAGGTGGGCTTGGGGCGGGGTTGTCGGCTGCGGCGCTGGAATGGAGCGGCGGGGCGCTGTGGGCGTCTTGAAAGCGCGCGGTCGAGCTTGGACATGCTTTGGGGACTGGATTTCAAACATGCCAGCCTTGGGCGTCGTCCTGATGAGCACAGGCGCCGAGGGGACCCGACGGTGCATCGCCAAATGGGGCGAGTGTGAAAAATGGCTGGTGGGCTTCTGAACGGACAGCATGGTGCTGGAGAGGAGAAAATGTTGAGGGGGAGGGTGGGTAAAACGGACGTCAAGGACGTGGGCGACGACGTCGGAGCGGCAGGCAGAGTGATAGTAATGGTGGGAAAATTAGCGGAGTTGCGCACGTAATATTCGTTCTCTTTTGTAGCCTCGTGTTTGGTTCAAAAGCTCTCGTGCCTGCTAGACACGATCCGAAACAAGAAGGGACTTTGATCAGAAGCACCACTTGCCGATATGCCGAAGATCGCTTCTTCCCCAAAAGGCAAGCGGCCTGCTCCGAACCCAGGGTGATGAGCCTATCCCCGGGCACCTATGCTGCTCCAGACCCGTATACAGTACGCCACAGTCTGGCTTATCACCCTGTGTTTGCCTCCCTGTCTCCTCCCTACACTCTTCCCTATGCCAATCGGTTGCCCTTTTCTTTCACATCACCTTTCATAACACAAACTCCTGAATCCGGTATGCCTCTCTGAGCTTGAACGAACACATGTGTCGGCCGCGCGCAATGGGATCACAAGTCCGTGCCGAGGACCCTGCGATCCATTTTGC